AAGAATTTGTCTGGGCTTGGCAAATTTTTTGGCGATGCAAGGAGAACAAGATTTTGTAGAGAAAATATCCTTTCTTGAAACTACTATAAGTCTCTGGAAAAGTCCTGAAAATTTAGATGAAAATGAATCGGCGTCACAACTTGATGAAGGTGAACCACAAACAAGTTTCATTCAAAGTCAACTAATTGATTTTGTTGATATAAATGACATTCATTTTTCCCACGAGGAAACAGTTATTGCAAATAATTTAGAAAAAATTAAAACTGAAAATAGTATTAGTTCCTTTGGGAAGGTTAACTTTGATAGAGTTCGCCCAAAGGGGCGACCGAAAGTAAAACAAAATTTTACCCTGAAAAGAAAAAGATAGCTGCACCAACAATTTTCAACTACTTGTATAAAATAAATATGTGAATTTTTTAATGTTCTGAAAATTATAACTTTTTGGTGTGTAAATAAATGGCTGCCGCAATTCAAAGTCGGGTCCAATAGACCAATGCTATTCGGATGTCATTTTTGGTAGTTTATTTTAGTTAACATTCCTTTAGTTAAACTGAAGAATTAAGTTTACAAACATATAGTCCATTCAATTATCTTTCATTTGATACCAAATTTTGTCTTACAACCTAACAATAATTTTTTGGAATGTGTTCATGATGTATGCATCCAATGTTGTTTCAGTGTCTTTTTCAGCTTTTATAGATATAGCATTTTCATTTTATTTTCCTGACATCAATTGATGAATCAGGAGGAATAGTTTTGGAACTACATAATTGAAACTTTGCATGCTTATTTATATTGAGATTCTTTACTTTATGATGTCTAACAGGAAAAGTTTTCAGAATGTATTTATGTATTTTATTTATTAGGTTCGTGTGTTAATTTTTTTTCTTCTATCTTTTCTGTCTTAGTTTTCTAATTGTTTTTTAAATCATGAAGGATATATCTACATGGTGTATGCATCCTGTATCGTTCATGCAGCCTCTAATTTAAAAAAAAAACACAATTTAATTTTAAAAAAATCATTTTTTTTCAATTTTACATTTTCCGGATTTTTAAGGAACGCCAAATGAATCGGGAGGAAAAGTATTCTAGCTACAGCCTTCAAACATTGCATGCTTCTTTTCATAGATATTTTTTACGAAATTCAAGAGGAGTTTTTATATATTTATCCAACTAGAAAGTTTTATAACATTTTTACATTTGCTACCCCTGAAGAGTTCTCAAATATTTATGAATTTATGTGACCCCCACATACATGCCATTTGTAACACTTCCAATAACTGCTGTGTAATAATCTTCTTTAAACCTTTTGTCAATGTTATTCTTAATGTGTATGCCAAGTTTCATTTACAATACAATACAATAAGTTACAATACAATGCAATACAAATTTGTCTTTATTCATTTTGCGTAAAGTCAAAATTGGTATTAAATGTTTAATTTTTTGCAATAAAAGTCACAACAAATTTAAAAAAAAAAACTTGAGTGGATTTTTGTCTTACTGTTTGTGTATGGTTTGTATGTACTATATTTTTTTCAATGGCTCTATTTATTTAGGTTATCAGTATTTTATTTTCAATGTGGGATGACTTAGTTGCCTTGAAACCAAACTCCCTTCACAGATCACATATATTTGCTCCCACTCAATCATTACATCTGTACTTAAATGAAGAAATGATACCGTACAAACAATAGTTAACTGTACGAGAACCAACAAGGAAGGTGAGAAAGTAAAAGGAGACAAATGGCAAAGGAATGATGTGACCTAATTGAATGAGTTTATTGGCTGCCTTCTCCATACTGGCCCCTAATTTATTTTATGGATACTTGAGAACACAACTCAAATAACTAACAACCAAGCAAAAATGTTCTCAAGTCAGTTAAGGTTTTTTTTTTCTATTAAATTATGTACTAGTGTGTTAGACCCATTTGACAGATATGCTTAAAAAGAAAAAGACTAGTCCTCCAAAAATAAGTCTCCTTCTCATACTTTATACAATGGCATCCTTTAACTTAAAGATGTTCATTGCAACTACCTTGTGAATTAGGTCAAGTCAATTGAGAAAGGTTGTTGAAAGGAGATTCAAGATATCAGGAAAAACAGTCAGTGTCCGCATGTATGACTCCCAGTGCCAAGGAAAAGGTTTAAAATTTGTGGTTTTGTTCTGACTAAGCCAAGCTCTCTAGGGGAATAGTTGAAATTAATTCATTATGAATGAAATGTTCATTATTTAGAATACCTAATTAATGCATAAAGTACTGTGTGAATAAATCTTTTAACTTAAACAATACACATAAATAATCTTAAATAAAGGATTTAATTTTAATAATTAAATTAATATTATTACTTTTCTTAAATTTAAATGAAAACAATAAATAATAAATGTATCTAAATCATCTTCATTACTAGATTTAAAAAAAAAAAATTGATCTACGAAAATGGCTTAAACTAAAAGAGAATATAAGAAAGAAAAAAAATCTTCCGGTACTAAGAGAAATTAACAAAGCAAAAATAAAAAAAAAACAACTAAAAATAATAAAACTATGAATCAATGAAATAGACAAGGAGAAAAAACAATTTATAAAAATAATTCTCATACTATTATTGTTATCACACCCGGCTCCGAAGCCATTTAATATGTACGGAGCCACTCCGGGTGCGAATTGTCATTGGCAACCATAGGTACCCGGGTACCTATAGATGCAGCCTTTTTTTATACCGATCCAGTCTCGTTCATCAGTCTTGGATTTTGGTGAAATCCGGACCTAGTGTGTGCGAACCCTAAATCTTTTTTTTTTTATTTGATATAATTTAGTTGTTGTCTTTCTCTTTTTCCCATTCGTTTGTTTCAATATTGGTTTCCCTCATGCTTCGTTTGCAAACGTCAATAAATCTCAGGCGCGGTCGTCAAATATGTCTTGTCCCCTCTGCCAACTCTCCATACAGCAGTATCTTTGGGATTCGTCCTTCCTCCATTCTTCGTACATGGCCTAACCAGCGAAGGCGTCTCTTGATAAGAAAGGAGAATATGCTAAACATGTGTGAACGTTCCAAATCCTCCACGTTAGGCACCCTGTCCTGCCAACGAATGCGCAAAATGCGACGCAGACATGTTTGATGGAAGCTGTTGAGTTTCCGCTCCTGACTGGTGTATGTGGTCCACGCTTCGCTACCATATAGGAGCGTGCTAAGCACGCATGCCTGATAGACACTTATTTTTGTTTTATAAGTTAGATTGAGATTATTCCACACCCGCTTATTCAGTTTAGCCATAGTTGCTGCTGCTTTTGCAATCCTGATATTTATCTCTTCATCAACGGAGAGAGAACTTGAAATATTGGATCCCAGGTATATGGAATGATCAAAAACCGAAAGATTATGACCCTCAATAGTTATGATTGGAGGGGCGGTAAATTCTTGAGTTGATCATTTGGATTCTTGATAACTTGACCCGTCTTGGACTTGAGTGGTGCTATAGATATATACTTTATTGAATAACATGATCATGATAGGACTATATACTTCATACATAAAATTAGGGCCTTCTTTAATATTAGTACCGGTAATACATATTGTAGGTCCACTGAAACTGTCTTTTTATTTACTTTAACTTCTCTGTATAACATACATTTTTTATTGTTCATATTATTAATTATCATATTAACAGGCTTGGCCTTTTATGACCATTGTTAAGCAATAGTCAAACCTAATTCATGGTTGCAAACTATTTAACAAAAATTAATTCTAGAGTACCAGTTATTTCTCCTACAAATTAAAATCATAAATTGTAGCTATAAAAAGAATACTGAAAGTTTCTACAATGAAATTCTGAAATAAACACCACTCAAATCGAACCACCATTTTATTTGCTTTCGAAACATCAATCAATCGGACCATTCTTCCTGAATTTTTTTTTTTTTTTAAATTTCAATTAGCACTCTTTGGTACGTATTCGTGAAGCACCGAGTGTCACCGATGTCGCCTGATAAAAAAAATTACCATGTTTACTTTGATAGTGCATGTATTATTTTATTTTTTGCTTCCGAATCCGGTCATTTATTATTTTTTATTTTTTGCTTCCGAATCCGGTCACGTACGTCAGTCTTGGATTCCGGTGAAATAATGTCCCAGTAGAGCCACAGCCTAATTCCCGAGTCTAATCCTGCTTCAATGATCTACAAATATCATCATTCTGTAATTATATATATACTTCAATGTTAAATTTCATTGGTTTTACGTGGAGTCATGTGACTCACCTTCCAGTCTAAAGAAAGAAAAATGTAATATGTTGAGTCTATAAATATAAACTATAATAGCAATAATACCACTAACTAAGAGTCAAGAGGTAATGTGCGAGACTGAGAGGTCGCCATCCTTGGTTTTCGTCAGCACCGGATATTGTAGCAAAATAAGTAAACACAACTTTACACAACAGGGAAATTTGTACAAGACACTCTACTGGGTGCCGTTAATTTGGAATAGTAATCAGTAATATCTTATTATCCTAGTGTATCTATTATTCGGTTATTTACTCTGTATCTCTCGTTCAGAAATGAGTGTCCGATAGGATTAACAAAATACATTTCTGATACTGATAATAATGAATGAACAATTAGACTGTAGACTGTACACTGCAGGCATAGTATAGTTATAGTTGTAGGCGTAGGTAAGTAAGTAGTAAGTATTTTGAAAAAAAATTGTAATGTTCATCTTAAGATCTTTCAATTTTTTCTTTTAAATTTTAGAAGAGGAGTTAAGATTTTTTAAATAAAATTAATTAATCCCCTTATAATGTATAAAAACTGTAAATTACAGTCAGTATAATAGTATAATATATTATATAGTATAATTATAATATTAATTTAACCATGAAAACTTGTGACCCACTTTTCTAATTCTGCACCCATAACTTTTTATTTTAAAAGATTCTAATGCTAAATTTTCAGGAGGCATTCACTTTAATGAGTTTACAATATAATGCTGCATGCACAACTAATGTTTTACATATCATTTATATTCTATAACAGTGGTTCCAAATCATTTAGACTCAGATAGTCCCTATTTATAAACCAAAATGTGGTGGGGGGGGGGAGGGGCTAGGCTTATCTCTTACAAGTTATTAGTGTTTAGGAGCCCCCGAGAAGTGCTCGCGGAGCCCTAATGACACTATGGAGCCCATAGGACCACTGATCTAGAATATTTATTTTACATTACTTTATATGTGTGGGTGCCTGTAAAAGTGCAGTTAAGGTGCGTATATTATTTCTTAATGAATTTCATATTTTTGCATGTATACTTATGTTTCTTCTTCTTCTATATATTAAGGGCCCACGATCAATTAATTGATAATTCTGGCTCCTATGCATGTAGAGGGGATTCGCAATGTTTCTGTGCCTGGTGTTGATGAGAATATTTCATTGGTTGCAAGGGCTACTTAGTGAGGGTATCATGCACTGGGGGTTGGAAGCCTGAGGCGATAGATGCAAATGTGTCAAGTGTTTTCGCCTCAACTGTTCCTTTTGGAAGCTTCTTCCAGTCCCTGATTGTCTTTGGCAGGAATGAGCATTTCCTATACTGGCTTCTCGCTGGTATGAGCCTGAATTGCCTGTCATGGCCACGTCGCTGTCTATGGGGGAGAGGGACTAGTTACTGTTTAATGCTGAAGCAGTGGACCAGCCCATTATTTATCTTGTACATCATGGAGAGCCTGGATAGTCGTCGTCATTCCTCCAATAATGACCAGCATGCTGCCAACACTAGAGGTATTCCTGTAGCGGTTCAGGACAAAGCGTGCTGCCCGTCGCTGGACCGCCTCCAACCTGTCGATGCTCTTCTGGGTAAATGGGTCCCAGATTGAAGATGCATAATCTAAAAGCGGCGAGACAACGGCTTTATAGGCTCTTTCTTTCACTCTGGAGTTGTCGATCTTTAAATTACGCCTTAAGAATCCCAGGGTCTTGTTTGCCTGGTTGCACACATTGTTACTATGCTCGTCCCAGCGGACCTCTCTTTGAATGGTAAGACCCAGATACCTTAAGGAGGAAACTTGCTCAAGTATATGGCAGTGCAGTTTGTAATGTTGGTGTAGAAGAGTACAACTTCTAGAGACTGACTGCGTCTGGCACTTGGCAGGATGAAATTCCATGTCCCAGCTCATTTCCCACTCAGATAATGATAACTGATTGAGATTCTGATGTAGCTGGTCCTGGTCAGATCTGTTGGCGATCGTCGTATACACCACCTTGTCATCTGCGAACATTCTTGCTTGGGATGTCAGTTTCTCGGGTAGGTCATTGATGTATGCTAGGAACAAACAGGGGCCTAGCACTGAGCCCTGACTTAAAACAGACAAAGGAAGAGCTTGTACTGTCCACCACTACTGGTTGGCATGGGTTGCTGAGGAAGCTAGAGATCCATATTTTATTAGTGCCTTGGATCTCATATCTCTGAAGTGTGTGTAGAAGCAAACTATGATTGACACGGTCAAATTCCTTGGAGAAGTCCATCACCAGCATGTCAGGTTGCTTGCTGTTCTCCGGATTGGTCATCAAGTCTTCTACAAATTCAAGGAGCTGGGTCTCACATGATCTATTGACTCCCAGATATGTAACTAAAAATAAATTGTACAGGGCTAAGTTTTATTTTTATTTGATAAAGCGGCTTATACTTATAGGCCTAAATATGTCTATAATTAGTACATGGTACATTCCCCATAAATGATCTTTCCATTTTGTGTTTTTCACCCTATAAGCCAGAATTTTTCACCTATAACTTGGTATGGTAAATGAAATTTTCAAACTGAAGGCATGCTCACAAAAATGAAACAAGAAATTAAACATCAATAAATAATTTCATAGAATTTAAAATAAATTTAATTTCTTTTTTCATTAAAATAAATTTAACAAACCATTTTTATATCAGAAATATATACAGTGGAACCTCTCATAACGAGTTTAATTTGTTCCAGACTCTTACTCGTTAAGCGAAACACTCGTTAAACGAAACAATTTTTCCCATACAAATCCATGTAAAATATGATAATGCGTTCATTGCTGAAAAAATACTAATTTTTCTAACAATTTTATTAACATTTATTCAAATAAAATTACTTATGAATTGTTAAGGAGTGTAACAACTTGGAATACAATTTAGATTTGAAACAAAAAACGTAAATAAAAATATGAATTTATGACAAATAATTTATCCTTTTTAACTAGAAAACTGTCTAAAGACATTTGTTTTTGCGGACGCTTCAAAATTTGACAAAAATGTGTCACAGCATTATCATTGAATACATTTGTAGCACAAATAGCCACCTCCTTATTAGGGTGATGCTTCTCAATGTATGATGCAATCGTTTCCCATGCTTTCAGCATTTCTCTTATTGCTCTAGAAGATTGTTACTCTGCTACTTCCTCCTCCATTAATGAGCTCTCCTCCATAATTTCTTGCACTCTCTGGCCAAAGTTTTTTCCAAGCAGAGGTGAGGGAAAAAGGGACTTCCCCTTTCTGCGTAACCCATTATGCGAAATGTCGCTCATTAAGGAAGCAACTTCTTCACATTTTTTTTTGCTCGTTATGTGAATTACTTGTTATGAGAGGTTTTACTGTATTTGTCATTGTAGATGTCTCAAATCACCAATAATTAAATATGGATTATGAAGGATATCGCTGCAAAGTCAAAACTTGGCTTATGTCCATAATTCATCTAGAAAAGCCTACTGGTATTTATATTTATATAGGAGTGTATATTATGATATATATATTATATTATATAGTTCATATGTGAACTAAAAAAAATATTTTTTTGGACAACCCCCCCCCCCCAAGCCAAAAACAGAATTTAAAAAAAAAATTTGTTCAGTTTTAAAATGTCATTTAGCATACCAACTTATATATATTATATAGTTCATATGTGAACTAAAAAAAATATTTTTTTGGACAACCCCCCCCCCCAAGCCAAAAACAGAATTTAAAAAAAAAATTTGTTCAGTTTTAAAATGTCATTTAGCATACCAACTTATTGGTGAAAATATCTGGCATATATGGTGAAAAAAATCGAGAGATCATTCACGGGCCATGTACCACTGGAAGCTGTTTCAAGGTGCTTTAGAAAGATGAAAAGAAAATTTAGTCATGTACAATTTATTGTTAGTTAACTATTACTGCATGGAGTTAATTTGATAACAAATACTCGTAAGTTCACATGCTAAAATACGAAAATGGTTAAGAAATAATATACACACCTGAACTGCACTTGATACAAAAGCCACTAAAAATATAAAAAAAGTGTGGAGGTCAGGGATAATCATGCCTGTTTTATTTAATTGGTGATAATAATGAAATAAAACTTACAGGTCTATTGTATTAGTCCTAAATCTTTTAATGTTTAATACAATCATGATGATTAACAAGCCACTCAAGGCTTGCGAACTTGCATACAAAAATATTAAATCATTAATTTTAATTGATTGATGACTGTTGTGACAAATTTATAATTTTTATATATATTATCTGTTCTCTTTATTATGACATGATTTAAAGTAAACCATAGTTTTGTTCAATTGTTCTTAAGGTTATATGCCAAGGCCTTAATAACTCTGATATAAGTTATAATAATATAAATTATATATGCCATACAGTAGGTATTTTTAAAGTCATTCGCGCACACATTCTGCAGGAAAAAGTGACAGGTAAATTTTTGTGGCCATTTTACAATCAGCTCTAAGGTGTAATCAGATTTTTGCGTTCTACATCACAGTTTTCTAATAATAAATTAATTTTTGCGACGATTTTGTAAAATATTTGTCTTATGTTGACGCTCATACCATTTACCCCTGCTTTTTTTTGTTGCTGTGTCACATTGACAATTGGTAAGCTATAAATGTCTTAAATGATTTTTTTTTCTTAGCATCTTTAATACTTAAATGGAACCTAAAAAATACTGTTAACCATCTAAATTGGATTGGGAATAATTTTGAAAGTCAATTTACCCTTTTCTCTTGAATGTTACTCCTTTAACATGTCATCACCTCCCCCATCACCGGACGGAAAAAATAAATTTTGTGTATCTTCATTGGGAACAAAATTGGCTCTCTGTAACAATCAATAAGTGTTTTAATGTTCTGTAATCTTTAAATATGTGCATAAATCTAAGTAAATTTTAAAATGTAATTTTAGAATTAGAATACAGAAATTTAATTTGAAAGCTTGCTTCCACCTAGTATTTCAAGGCCTACCATTTAAAAAATAGTTATAGTAGACCTATGTTATAGTAATGCATATTTTTAAGTCTAAACCTAATATTACTAAGAAATTAATAATATTCTATTAATAAAACTTACACTTGCAGGCCTAATTTAAGTTAGTATTTTTTAAATTTAATAAGTATAAATAAAAGACATCAAATAAATAAGTAAGACTCAACATTATCATAGTAATTATTTTTGTAATAGGACATATACCTATATGACGACTACGACTTGGATACTGTTGACAGATTCACATATCTGGGATCCAACATATCGAGCACCCTCTCAATGGAGGATGAGATAAGTGGAAGGATAGGGAAGGCCGCAACTGTTATGGCCAGACTGAAGAAAAGAGTCTGGTCAAATGTCAAACTCACAACAAGAACTAAGCTGCAGGTGTACCAGGCCTGCGTACTGAGCACACTCCTGTATGGATGCGAGTCGTGGACCACATATTCTAAACACGAAAGAAGGCTCAATAGTAATTTTGTAGATTCAGGATTATGATTAGATGTTATTTCTAGGTTTCTTTCAGATAGCTGTACAAGAGAAATTTAAAATTATCTGTTGAAGTACTCTGTGGAATTCCTTCAATCAACTAGGAAGCACCTTTGGACGTTGATGACAAAGAGCTTATGAAGGAGAGATTATAGATTCATCAACAAGACCAAGAAGTCTGTAGAGCAGTCTAAATTGGAAATGACAGACATAACATCACCATTACCTTTTAAAATTTAATCAAATACCAATATGCTTTTATTAGTCATATGGGTGATTTTATTAGTTTTAATTTATTATCTAATGCATGCAATTTTATAAAAAAAAAAGACCTACTTACTTTTTATAAATATAACAATTTATTAACAATTTAAGCATATATTTAATTAAAATACAATACACATGTTTTTTTCTTTTATTTTCCCTCTAGAACTGTAAGTAATAATTTTGAAAATTTTATTTTCATTTTTTTTTTAACTACCGCAAATAAAATTATCAAAAATAAAAAGTCTTTTAATGTTATGTAAAAGTTTTATTGTTCATTGTGTTTTATATTGCATTGAGAATGTCTCCTGAAAATATGGTAGCATTAATTTTTTTTTTTAATTGTGGGCAAAACAAGGCAGGAATTTAGCGTGTTCACCAAAAAACTCATTACTCCACTTCAATAAAAGCTAGAAAGATGAAATTGGTGTTGTTATAAAGCTTATAGCTAGCACTTTAAAATAGTTTATAATTTATGGCAGTAAGACAATATTTAAAATTTCTGTCAAAGTACCTACAGTGTCCTACAACTAGGCTTATGACATGACACACAATGTATATGTGATCTATTTATATTATATGTTAAATGATCTCTGTGAGATGACCAGGGTCATATATTGCTATAATTAATTTTAATAACTTAACATTATTTTTTTATTTTATATGATTTTATAATCACTAATTAAACCTTTTTATACAATAAAGACGTCATAGCCAAGGATATATTTATTAAAGATCTTTTCCAATTGTGGAAGCAATTTTAATTGAAATATTTGTCACGTTCAAATAATTTTTTCTACCTGTACACAATTTTTAGCTTACTCTTAAAAAGTTAATGCTAATAATACCAACTTTGATTAAGATTTGTAAAGTTGGCATAGCTATTAAAATTATTTTCTATATAATATCATTAAAATTTAAAGTGTACCGGTTCAAGAGCCTTTTGGGGCATGCCTATTTTAAACAATGGCTGACTTTATTTTCAATTTCTGGTGAACCATTTGGGGCTGAATAATATTTCCAGAGCAAATATGATTAAATTTAGTACATGTTAGTTTATAAAATGGATAAACAAATAGTGCTGTAAATAATTTAAAATGGATAAACCAATAGTGCCGTAAATAATAAAAGATTGCTGGATCTTAAATTTAGCATAATGCATTTTAAGAAATTTTAAATTATTTTCTACCTGTTACTGTTAGTTGGTTTTAATTTGTGTTTGAAGAAAGTCATTTTTTAAAAGTTTTTTCAATAGTTATATTTTCTAATTTTTTGGCATCAGTATTAAAATTGTAATATTTAAATTATCTGAAAAGTTAGAATTATTTACTGTTTTAAATATTGAATGCTTAAAAAATCCCGGTTGAAGTGACTTACCTCTTACTTAGGCATAAAACTAAAAAAAGTAGATCCGAGCTCATCCAGCCACTCATTCACTCAACCGCAAAGCAGACGCCATCAACCACAATAATTTAAGCCAGTGTCAACCCACCTTCTTTGACCCAGTTTTCCAGCTCTTCATCAGGTGGACACTGCATGAGAAATCTTAGAATGTCACGTGTGTGGAAATGGAAGTATTGAGAAAGTATTAAAAAATGGACATAATATTAATATGTTTCTTCCTTCCCTGGTTTTTCTGTAACTTGTAAGCTATATTAACTGGTGACTTTTTTTATAGCGCACTCATAGTGCAGTGAGCCTGATACTCCACAAGCAAAATTATAGTTCAGCCATTTTTAAAGACTTTCTTTCTAATCTCATTTCCATCTTTTAAGTTTTCCAGTAAAAATTTTTTGTTTACACTGATATATCTTGTTCAGTTGATTTTGCTTTCCTCGTGCATCTTAGTTGGTGACATATCTCCGGTAGATTGGGTTGATGTTGGGGTGGTGAGCAATGGGGAAAGAAGAAAAAGTGATTTAAAAAAACAACAACCTTACCCCTTTGCTTACACTATCGGTACTAACTGTAGGATTTTGGGATGGAATGGGGGAAGGTGTTGGGGCAGGTCCAAAAGCTCTTTGCCAACAATTTTTTTTTTAATACAAATATTTTTTAATTCTAAAGAAAACTACCGGCATGCTTCCTCTGAAGTCACACATCTGAATGAGAACTAATAAGTCCCCGCTTTTGCTAAGAGAACTCACTGAAGGCTGTTTGAAATAATTTATTATAAATGTCTTGTGTTCAAATTGTTTTATTTTTGAGCTGAAAATGTATAATGCAATCAAAAAACATTTCCATTTATTTGGATCAATAAAAGAATCTTATCTTATCTTATCTTATCTGGACCTGTAATTGTTTCAGAATTTTTTTGTTTAAAAAAAAACGCATTTTAAAATAATTTTAACTTACTTTCAGGGCATTTTAAATGACTACATAAAAATGACACAGAAAGCAACATCAAGCAATGTGAGCTGGCAGGATTTAGGAATTATCACTTGTTCACTCTGCAATTTAAAAACGTCTGATCAAGCTCTTTTTCAGGCTCATAATTGCAAACCTAGAAAGTCTATGGAAACCCTTCCATTGACCAAAGCAAAAATAAGCTATAGCAGCATAACCAAAAAGTTTTATTGCTCAATATGCAGCATTGAAATAAATGAAAAACATATTGAGGATCATATAGAGAATCATATTAATCTAAAGCCATATATATGTCATTATTGCAGTCTTCCATTTGGCTCCCAATTAAAAGTTTTTCAACATTGTTCTTCTCATCACACAACTGCAGATCCTCTCTATTTACTCAGAGTTTCAAGAAAAACAAAAGACTTAATCAGAAAGGTCAAACTAAAGGGTAGTGAATTTTATGTGCCTCTTAATTTTAATGTGGTGCCTGTTAAAAAATCAGTGCTTCTTTCAAATAATGAAATTAAGGAAGCCACATGGGGCAATAATGTTGTTTCAAAATCAGTAAATCACAGTGAAAACTCCCAAAATGTCACCTTAAATCCAGCATTGCCAAGTGGATTTCGTCATTCAGAGAACTTGAATTTGGCAACAAAGTCAAAAATTCTTGCTCCAAAAAGTGTGACAACAACTTCAGCTGAAAAAGCCATCATACATAAATCATTTCCTGTTGCTAATTTATCTTCAGCTGGTGCTATGGAAAAATCATCGAATTTTCCTCTTGTTATAAGACAAAATATGCATTTGATAACCTGTGTAGACAAAAAAAAGCAAACATTAAATAATGAAGGAAGATTTTGCTATCCCAACGAAGGTAGTGCTGAGTGTCCTGTTGTTTCCATGAAACTACCCATACAGCTAATATCTGCGGCAGAAAAAGAAACCACTTTAATAAAAGATAATAGAAATCTTGATGTTAACAATGAAATTGCTACTTCCTGGGAAATTATAGGAAATCATTCAAGAAATGAACTCAATACTGAACCTAATTTACCAATTGATAACTTTTGTGGACATTCTTCTTTTTCTGACAATGTCAGTCAAGCAACTTTTGTAAATGGACATGACTACCTGCGTGTTGTTAAAGGATATTTTTTGTGTCTTAAATGCAAAATGAAGTGGAGCTCTGATTATGATTCTTTTTTCAAACATATCTGGACATATCACGTACATGGAGAGGATTTCTCTTGTTGCCCAGATGGTTATTCTGTTAAGTGTTTGCAATTGAAAACTGTTTTAAAATCTGTGTATGATAAATCTCAAGAAACTATGTCTGATATAATTAAAAGCTACTTGCAATTTGACTCAGCAATTAAAGAAATTGACTCTGTTAATAATGCTGACTCAAATACAAATGCTTCTAATTCTGTAACCAACTGTTCTGTTTCAACATCACCCCCCACTGTTGCCTGTTCGGTTTCAGTATCATTCGCAACTGTTGCCCATTCGGTATTACCATCACCTACAACTGTTGCATCTAATTCTGATAATACATTTGAAGAAATAAACAAGAATAAAAGGTCTAATTTGTTACAAGATGCTTCTGATTTTACACAACAATCACTGCGCAATGAAAACACTAGTCATTCAAATCAGCAGCTTTTATATGCACCAGATTCATACTTTCATAAAGGACTTTACTCATTAAATCGGGCTGAGAGATATTCAACAGAAAGCAGTGAAGCTGGTGGCGAACTTGGCGATGAGGGACTTAAGTCATTTTATCAGTGTGGTCAACTGAATTGCACATATGCAAGCGTCCAACCTGTAGATCTTCTACTTCACAGTGAACAAAGCCATGGGGCTGAAGACAGATTCCCTTGTATTTATTGTGGTTTCCCAGCAAGCTCAATCAGCATTTTATTGGATCACATGAATCAGCATATAGGAAATGATAATGGTTATGTCTTCTCGTGCTCAATTTTGGACTCATCTCATGTGATAGATAGATTCGAAAGCCAAGATTTAAAGCATGTTTTAGGAAAATTTGAGGAAATGTTAAAATTAAATGATAAGTCTAATTTATGTTTTGTTTGCAACACATGTGAAACACAATTTAAATCACTTGGTAAGCTGAAAGAACACCTGCAGAATTTCTTGCTAAAAGTTATAAGGTGCAAACATTGTAGAAGCTTTTTTTTAGATACTTCCTCATGGCAAAAGCACAGAGCAAAGGAACATCCAAATGAACCTCGATTGTATTGTATAAATAGGAAACTGTTGTGTGATGCTCGTAAAAAAAACTTTTCTGAATTTGTGCTATTAACAGAAAAAAGAAAACTTTGTCATGAATTTTGTATTCCAAATACTAATCGTGTGCTTGTTTCTAATGATAATATGCTTGAAGCCATTGATTCATTGGCTAAGGATAAATTTGATCAAGAAAAAGAATTATCCCAACCAGGCTTTACTGAGATTTCTCCCTTGCATGAAACAACAAGTCCATTGATCAGTGAGACCAGTAGCTGTGACCTTGATAATTCAACAAATAATAGTCAACGAATAGACAGTTTGGTATTTGGGTTTCAGTTAGAAAACTATGGAGTAACGCAGACATCTAATCGAACATGTATTGAAATGGAAGTGATAGATCACAGCAGCATAGTTCTAAATAATTCTGAAAATTTGGATAACTCAACAACTTTAAATAACGAACATTTCACATCAGAAGCAAATAAACAATTTGTCTCTGAAGAGAGGTATTGCTTGACAGAAGATAATACTTTGGCCAAAAACCATGAGAAGCAGCTTCAGATTGAAAGAGGGCATGAAGCTTTGACAGAAGTTATAGATCCAAACCATGTATTAAACCCTCGTATTAATTCTAAAGTTTCAGAAACATTGACAGAAATTATTACAGTGGAGAAAAATAACAGCTCAAAAGGGGTGCATGACTGTGATCAAATCATTTGCTTGGCGATTGGGGATGCAGAGCAGTCAGAAAGTGACGCACTAGAAATCTCGGATCAACAGGCACATCCTGAAATTATTTCAGAAATATCTAAAGGGCTTGAAATCACTAAAGCATGCATTACATTTGAATCATCATCAAATATGGGAGAGGGCAATGTTCATTTTTGTGGCTCAAAAGACATGGACTGCAAAAGTTGTAGTGATTTGGCTGATTGTTATGACAAAGTGCCAGAGATACCTGTAGAAGCAGCAAATTCAACATCTACAGATCTATGTGCTCCAAGAGTGTCTAATGAAACCAAAGCTAAGAGTTTATTGAATGAATCCTTTACTCAAGAAAAATCTCAAGAAGAACTTAACCACATAGATGAATATAACACTCAGAACAAAGAGATTAATAGCTTAGATTTGATAGAAAATGATATACAATGTACTGTCTCACCAGTTCTTGAAAGCACTGATAAGTTTATCAACAATAATGCAATTGAAAAAAATGAGGAAAATGTATCCTTGTCTGAAACAAGGAATCAAAAGGAATGGAATACAATGCTAACTCCAGCTGAAAATCACAAGGCATGTAAAAGGTTGCTGAACTCTAAAAGCAATAAAGAAGTTCCACCTGTTAAGAAAGTAAAAAAATCTAATTCTCTTCCAAACAATCCTCACACAACTGAGGTGATTAGTTTAGATGTTATATCAGATGAATATTTGAATGTTAATATTTCATCAATCGAAAACAAAACCTCAGAGGAAAGGAAAACAACTCATTTCAAAACTGGTTTAAAGGCTGGAATAAAAAGAAAAACTGTCCTTAAATATTCATGCATACATGACGGATGCAGTTTTGTTTCAAGATGGCATAAGCCTTCAATGTGTAATCACGTGAGGAATAAACACCCTTACTGTAGTTGCGGATACTGTGGTGCGATCTATTTTTTTCGTAATCACTTAATTAATCATTTGAGATTTGCTCACAGAGGAATGGAACCCAACATAAATGATGATGTTCCTTTAGAAAAATTGTTTGAGGTTATTGAGCCCCAAGAGGAAAAAATTGGTTCAAATGATAAATATGGTAAGGATCCAGTAAATATAAATGATTTTGACAATGTCAATGGTGAGATAAAGAACAAAGAAGCAAATACTATTATTGAGAAGTACATTGAACATTCAATTGATTTTTATGAAAAGGACCTCAAGATTCCAAAGAATTCAAATTATACAAATTTAAAATATGTTGCTGACAATGAAAAGCATTCAGCTGGACCAAATAATCATTCTAAAAATAAGAAAAGTCAACCCCTTTCTTGTGCTGACATGAGCTTGAAAGATTCATCATCAGAAAAAAATTTAAAGAAAAGTTCTTTAGAATCATCTGATACTTTAATCAAACAACGAAAACGAAAAATAGCAGACGAAAAGTTAAGTCACATCAGTGCAACTAAGAAGAATAAACCTTCTAAGCACACCTACAAGTCATCCAATAAACCCTGTAAGACTAGCAAAACTTCTATTGAATTATTAGGAACTAAACAAATTTCTTGTGAACATAGCTTGGATGTTATTGCAGGTTCTAAAGATTCACCCAAGACTTCTGGAAAAATGATAGATATGTTATCTGAAACTTTACCACAGGTGTATGCTCGAGTAAAAAATTATCAAACATCTCCAGTGTGTAGAAAGAAAAATGTTATTCAAACCTTTAAAAACAATCATTTAGTTGATAAAAGTGAAACACCCAAAGAAATAATGAGCATCGAGGACTATCCCTTTCAATGTGATGTCTGCAAGTCTTGCATTAAATCTTTGAATGATGTAGAAGAGCATTTCAAGGTGTTGCACTCAGGAGAAAATGAGACATTTTTTGATAGGGAAACCAGCTCAACTTATGCAATAACAGGAGAGCTCTTAAACAGCAAATCAGGGGTGAAATCAAATCCTACTAATTTATGTACATACTGCTCTTTCCGAAAAGAAACTAGGTAGGTTCAATTCCATATTTAGCACACTCTCAAAAAAAAAAAAAAGAAAGAAATAAGAGAAATACCTTAAGGTACCGGTATTAATAACAATGGTATGTATATTTTTTATTATAAAAAAAAGTATACTTAAACTGCATCCTCCTCTTTCATCTTAACACCATCTCTATTCTTGTCTTCCACTGATCAAAGCAGTGCTGGAGGTATATAAGTGTGGAAAAGTGTCATCTAGCTATGCAAGAGCATTCCAATACTGCAGCACATCTCTCTTGGCCTGTGGTTCAGAGAGAGTTCTGAATGAATTAGTATTTAGTCCTGATAGTTGATAGGTGAAAATGTTAACCTACACCTGTTGCCTCTTTTTGTTTTGAATAAGTTTCCAGAATCTTACTGCTGCTATATATGGAACACACTCTTCCAAAAAAATATTAAATTAAGGAATCAAAATGCATTTGAATTGGGACTTTGCAAAGCTTTCTTTGTCTATGATGACAATGTTGTTTTCGTGTGCATTTGATCTAAATAGCAATAACTTTTTCAAAAAGGTTTTATTTGATGACATCAGTCTATTGCTGAATTATAATGGTTATCATCATTCTTATGATAGTTAACTATTTCAATGATTTCTTGACTTTGGGAATATTTTTTTTGGTTGAAAACTTTCATTATTGTCCAGATCATTCATCTTCTATAACAGCCTCTCCATGTAGGTGCCATCTCATTATTTAAAACACTGTACCACTGTAAAGTTTGTGTACTGTATAAGAAAAAGGTGCCATCTTCATGTGATCAATGGGTTAATATATATATATCGGGTAAATAAATATATTGGGTATCACTTTCACCTGGTCATAAAGAGCTGAAATTGGGTACACAGCTTAGTGTGAAGGTTATATTCTTTCAAAATTTGGAAATATATGCAGTTAAATTTGGAAATTTTACATCATAGTCAAAGGAATGAAATATAAATAATGTCAGCTATCTAAATTCAACCCAGCAGAGGTTGACTAATTGGTTGGGTTGTCATGCTCATAAGGAGGTAAATAGCTAGATCCTCATTCCAATCCTTTCCAAAAATGTATTTCAGTAATTTCGTAGTTATTAGGTTTAAAATTTACATAAATTAAATACCTCAGAACAAATATAAAATTACTGAAATAAGTCTTGCTTTTACAGAATATTTAAATTTCTCTTTTTAACAAAATTCTTCCAGGTCAGATGTGGAGGAGCACATAAGACATGTGCATCCTCAGAATGATGTAAATGTTTTTTTGCTAGGAGTTACTAGCCTACCACAAGCAACTTCCATCAGAGAATCACATACAAATTCGACTACTGATAATCTTAGTACAACATCAAAGGGTAAGTAGTAAATTAAACATTTTGTTTTCATAATGTAGTTTTTGAAACTCGTCATCTAAAAAAGCATGATGAAAAAAAGAATTATTCATTATCTGTAATGATATAAACTTCCGCTTGTTTTGGGTGCCATTGTCAGAAAAATAATACAGGTTTTTGTGTGGTTGTTGATGTCTTGGTAAGAAATAAAAGAACTTTACAATAATTCCGCCTCAACTTCAGGTAAAAAATAGCTGGGTGTCCAGAGTGGATATGTGAAATTAACTTGCGCCAGTAAACTTTCATACTAAATAACAATATTTAGTTAACAATCATAATGGCCAGTAATGCAAAGGGGTATCAGATTATAATGCATTGCTCCATATTGTCCATATTGCAAAAATTTGTTGTTGCACAAAATTCAATATGCTCAGCTTGTTTAGTGATATGGCCAAGTTGGCTCTTTCAAACTTTCCTTATGATTCTTACTTAAATATGTTTATGATTATGATGTTGACAGGCTTGTTCATTATTTGCTTTAGTTCAGTGGTCGGGGAACTTTTTTTAGCTCTTAGTACTTTTAGCCCCATATATTTTTGCTTACGTCTGTTACCCCACTCTATTTGAAAAGGAAAAAAAGGAAACTATTTGAATTCGAAATGGTTTATTAAACCTTTGTAAATGAAGAATACAATTATTATCAAAAGTGTAAAATAAATGTGATAATATAAATTAATAAAATCCTCAAAAATTTTTAGTGTAATATAACAGAGCAAACATTTCTGTCATAGCAAGAAATGCGGTTTTAAATAATTTTATATTTTATGTCTATTGAGCCCTCACCCCCAGTATTTTCATTTTTATCCCATTTGGGGTAACGTACCCCTGTTAGCCAACTCCTTCTTTAGTTCATAAAAAAAAAAAGTTATCAGTTTATCTGGGACAATGTGACTCACAAAGTTAAACTTTCACATACCATAGATACTTGATCTAAAGCCCATTTGTTTATAAGTCGCCCCCCGGACCAAGTTTTGGCTGGGAAAAAGCCTAATAATTGTATAACGCAGTCATAAGCCGAACCTATAAAGTAATATGCCAGTGTAAGCCATACATTACTAAAAAAATGTTAAAACTCCAGACTTTTAAAAATAATTATTGTATAAGTCTAAGTTAGACTTAAAAACTAAAAAACGAATAAGACAGGTACGCACTTCACATGTAACCATACTGAACATTTCCAGAAATAGATGACTACCGCATGGAAAGAAATACTTGGTCTCCTCGTCTTCCATGCATGTGTCATCATCATCAGTGGCGCTACAGTTCATAGAGCCCTGGCCTCCTCCACAACATCCTTCCATTAGGATCGATCCATGACTATCTGCCTCCATGCGCGAGCCCCCAACTGGTGTAAATCCTTCTCTACATCGTCGATCCATCTCAGTCTTGGACAACCAGTTAGCCGTCTGCCCCTAGGTTTCTGCCTGTGTATCACTTTTGCTGCTTTACAATCCGGCATCCTTTCAATTTGTCCTGTCCAGCCCAGTCTGCCTTTTTTATTGTTGCTACCATGGGTGGATCTTTGTACAAACTTTTGGTTTGTACAGATTCTCCAGACATCATTTTCTATCACTGGGCCAAGTATTTTCCTGAGGATTTTCCTCTTCCATGTATTGAGCAGATTCTCTGCTTTTCTGGTAAGGGACAAAGTCTCACTAGCATAAGTTACTACTGGTCTTATGATAGTGGTGTATATTAATAATATTATCTTATTTGTTCCCTCAGTCAAAGCTGGTCCATGCATGTGTGCTGTTAGAAAAATATCATTTCACAATTTTGGATCACAAATATATATATATATATATTTTTTGTTAACTAGAAACTTCAAGCTAGGACAATTAAAACATTATATTTTTTTTTTCAGATCCCAGATCACCTTTGTCCCTAATTTCTCCCTTCATTAAGTTACACATCTGCCTAATTTGTGGGATCTTTTGCTGTCACATTCTCAAACGTCCCTTGATAGGATTTAACAATAAAAACAACAACTCGCCTCTGATTGCCTGGCTAATCTCCTGTGCATGTCGTGACATTTAACGGAAATAGAACAAACCTCCTGTGTGGTTGGGCGCAACTGAGTGATGATTTCCTCTTCCTGTGTCAGGATTTGACATATTCTGACGATAAAATAAACCACATCTTACCTCCAAACTGTCTTTTCTTTGTGTTGACTTATTTCACTAATAAAATAATTCACCTTTGACCTTGTCCTCTAACCTTGCATGATCTAAGCTTCTAATGAAGTGATCTTCTAGTCTCCATGCTATTTATAATTTCAGAGGGGAACAGCAACAAAGCCTAAAACAAACACCTATCTAGGATTATGGAGAATATTTTCTCCACACAGTAGTTTTGTTGTCCTGACCCAGTATTTAGGAAACACAGCCCTATATAACCTGTTAAGATAATGGGCTAGATGACAATCTGAAGAGGCTGTAGTGGCCTACTCAAAAATCTCTTTTTTTTTAATGAAACCAGTTTAGGAAATGCTTTGCGTTGCATATGGTTCATTCCATTTACAAGACTTATCTTTAAATTCTTCATTCTTGAATGAAGTAATTTCAAATTAGCTTTGTTAGTGTTAATAGAATTTACAAAAACGTACACTTACACATTTGATCAATTTATGTGACATATAATTCAAATATTAAAAACGGTTTTAAAATGAAAATAATTTACTCTGTGTTTAAAACCATATTATTAATTATCTGATACCTTTTCTTTCTTTCTTAATAGTTGTTAAAGGAACTTCACCATCATCATTGGTTTACAACTGCAATAAATGTGGAGATCAACTTGGCAGTGAATTTCTTTTTCGATTTCATCTTGCCCAGCATGGAGGTTTTAAGCATACTAATGTACTTACCACAACTGGTCTTCTTGTGTGTCCAATTTGTGGGTACTTTGCCAGCAGCCATCACGACCTGGGGCAGCATACCGGAACGCACTTAAATGAGAGACGTTACAAATGCTCCCTTTGTGATTTTGATGGTCACAACAAACCAAGTATAAATTATCATTTGAGTACTGCGCATTGTGGTGTGGAAGGTATTGAAATCATAGATCGTAATAAACGTTCTAAAATGCATTTGCAACCAACACTGGTCAACATGCAACCTCAGGTGCAATTAAAAAATGCTTTACATTATGCAGATTATCTAAGTGAACTATTGATTAAAAATGATATTAAAAATATTGAGCTCACTTCTGACATTTGTGCTCACATCTTTAAACATAACAGCGATCAATATTTTGATGTAGTACCTATCGATGAAAGTGAATAATTTTTGCCAAGAAGAATTTTATTATTTTGAGTCAGTCTTTTGATATTTAAATGGTGCCTACTTTATATTTAGGAGCAACCAAATTATTTTTATAACTTTTCTGAATTGTTCTATTTTGTAATTTCATAGGGGATAGTTGTGAAGGGGATCAATTGCTGTCCTGAAAATTCCTATCTATTTCAATCATAAACATTAATTAACTTATAATTTTTTCACTTTTTCTTTCTAGAAATATTTAATAATTTCAGACAGGCTTGACATGCCAGCAAATTATTAAAAATAATTTTAAATTGAAGAACCGTGGAACTTACTTAACATAAAAGTTGGCTTTCTATTTTTTTTTAAAAGTTAGAAAGTAAAGCTTTCCAGTAAAAAATCAAATGTAAATTCCATTATATGTTTGTAAAAACTTTTTTACACATGTAAAATTACTAAGCTACCTGGTAGTTCTGGTATTGGATAGTTATAATTATAAGGTATATAATATATACATTTTAAAAATATATTTTTTTCCCCTTCAGCAAATTTTTAAAGACATAAGGGAAACATTTTTTTCCAGAATTAAAATTAAATCCCTAGATTTTGTATTAATTTTATGAACCTCAATATAATTTATCTAAAAAGGAAGAAAAAGAAATGCAAATGCTGACTTTTGTGATCCAAGTCTTGTGTGTGTGTATTATGTCATCATCAGTGGCGCTACAGCCCATGTAGGGCCTGCTCCACCACATCTTTCCATTTGGAACGATCCATGGCTTTCTGCCTCCATGGGCGAACCCCCAACTGGTGTAAATCCTTCTCTACACTGTCGATCCATCACAGTCTTGGACGACATGTGAGCCGTCTGCCCCTAGGCTTCTGCCTGTGTATCACTTTTGCTGCTTTATAATCCAGCATCCTTTCATTATGGGCACCTTGCAGTCTGCCTTTTTTAATTTTTGTGACTGTGGGTGGATCTTTGTACAATTGGTGTATAGCTCTTGGTTTGTACAGATTCTCCAGACATCATTTTCTATCACTGGGCCATATATTTTTCTGAGGATTTTCCTCTTCCATCTATTGAGCAGGTTCTCTGCTTTTCTGGTAAGGGACAAAGTCTAACTAGTGTTAGCTACTACTTATCTTATGATGTGATGTGTATTGTCTCCTTTGTTCCCCTCAAGAGGTTTTTGCTTCCCAGTCCCAGTTGCTGGCTGAAATAGGAATGGTTGCCTGCTGTTATACTTTCTTTCACCTCCGACATTATTTCATTGTGCTCGTTTATAGTCCCTCCTATGTTTTTGAATGTGTGTATTATTATTATGGCTATTTTTTAAATATTTTTGAGACCAGTGGTTGTCAGGATGTGTGCCTTTTTTAAAAGTTCTTTGGCAGGCATCCTGTGTTTCTTACACTGTTGTACTTCTGGCCAGCAATGTTGGTAGGTGTCTCCAGCATACATGGTAAACCAGCATGTACAGTTAACAGTTGTCTTCCGATTTATAGTCCACACGCAGTAGGATGTGGTTTTATGGGGTTGAGGCTTTCCTAGAATAGCTGATTTTGTAGCCTTCTGCCCTGCATAAGGCAGATAGAGGGCTAGGTGACTAATTTTATTATCAGTGCATTAACTTAACCATTGCCCTAGGTTTATTGTTAATTTTAAGTCGATTTGTTGCTTTAAAAGGAATTTGGTTCAGTTACTGTTTTAGGAGAGGTGGAACTCCTAATTATTATCATTAAAGTTCTTTAAATGACTTAAATATTTATATTACTTGTATCATTATAATTGCTAAAAATTTGATGTTATGTTTCACTTTGGCCTCTTATTTACTACAGATTGTTATATGAATTATAAGTGTAATCAGCATATTCATACACATCTGAGAAAGTAAAGCCTTTTGGCTTTGGGGCTCTCTATTGCTTCCCAATTCAAAGCTACTAGGTTGGTGTTCTGTTTTCAGCAGTAGACATCTACGAAACTTTTTCCAATATATATGTAAACATCATACATCATGTCCAAATTAAGCTATTGTTTAACTTTGAGACCACCAAAGGTATTTAGAAATATCACCTTTTTAATTTTGTGAGTGAAGTTCTAAAAATTTAGTGGGTGTAAATGAAACATTGTTATTTGTTATGCAGTTTGGAAACAATATTTATGATCCACACTTTAAATGCTTTAAGAGTAGCTTAAACTCTGTTCTAATGTTTTTAGAGCTGTGACTGAGTATAATGGTACTTTGTACATAATTTTACATTCTTACTGAGGTTTGTTTCAATTTAACAAGTTGGTTATGCTCTAGAAAAGAAATGCTAAAGCTAATCAAGTTTAAAACATTTTGAAGGATAAATGTTTTTTTTAAGACTAGAATTGGTAAACGTTTTTTAAAACAATTTAGTAAACATGACAGCTCTCCCCCACCTTGATAAATACTATAGTGATAAACTGCAATCAACCATTAAAATTATGTTTCCCCTTTTTTTTTAAATTATGAGCAAAACACTTTTGAAAATCCTCTTTTTTGTTCTGAAAGGAATGTACTCTACTATGACATTTTTCCACATTTTATGTTTATTAAAATGCAAATGCAGTCACAGTAGTAACCATGACTTACAGTGATTGTGATTATATTATTTCATATGCCTTGTACAAGAAACAACCCACAACTAATAAAAATGGCAGGACAAAGAAAATAACCTGCTAACAAACCAAGCTGGTTTGAACGTGCGCAAAATTGCATATGTTAGTGTAAACTTGGCATTTCTAGTAATTTGAATTATTGACAAACAAAAAGTGAAATTTGGAACAAAATTATGCTCTTCTGTTTTTTTATGTTTGTTCTTGTACTATTATTTTGTTGTAAACCAGGGATGTCCAACCCCAAAGGCTTAATTTTAAAAGCAAGTAAAACGACTTATATTAAAATAAACATCAACTACTACTACCCTCTTAATGCTGTTTAGAATCTATTCTGCACATAATCACATAAAAAAACTGCAAATAGCAAGCTAAAACTAAACTAATGTGATATATGTTTATCTTTTCCCACACATTACTTTTTTAAAATCGATTTCTTTGCAAATTGATTAAAGAACAAATTTGAAACAAATCAGGCATAAGCGAGCCACAATATTTAATATGGTTTGTTAACCCTGTTGTAAACTAAAGAAAATAAGTACTGGTAATGGACTCATTATAATTATAATGTTTTGTTTGAGGGAATGTTTTTTTTAAAATTCTCAACTTCAATCATAACAATACCCAGCATTTGAATAGTTTTAGGAAAGATTTTTTTGCATTGAAAAACTATCTCCCTGACCCTTTCAGTTTTTCTACACCCCCCCCCCCCCTTCTTCCCTATTTAGAGCTACCTCTTGATCTATAGAAAAAAGCACACACACCCCTTTTTTATTCTTCTGTTTTAACCGTTTTCACCGCAACTGGTTGTAATACACCTGGAGACAGACTGCAATTGCTGATATCTTGAGTCTCCATTAATCTTTCTCATCCACAAGGTAGTTGGAAGGACCACTTTGGTGGATGCAATTGTATAAAGCATGCAAAAGTGACTTATTTTTTTGGGGCCTATTCTTTTTTTCTACAGTCTGTAGAAACAGGGTGTCACACACTCGTGCAGACATGTTTACCCCCAAGCTCTTAAAATCATACAATATCATTCAATACATTATCTTAATAGTAAAAAATAAACATACATTATATATAATGTATAAACCTCAAAATCATACAATGTACACCAAAATCTTAAGAGTAAACAGGTCTGATAACTTAATGGAAAAAAACCGTCTAAACTGGCTTTTGAACATTTTTTCTTTGGTTGTTTTTTGTTGATTATTTGTGTCTGTGTAATCCATAAAATTGACTAAAAAAATAAATAAATATTCTGTATGCATTTGGGTACCAACAATAATACCATGTATTCAACTTGACAAACCATTTCAAAGCAGAACAGTCACATGTACACATGGAAAACAGGGGCTTTCAGTTTCACTTTCTATAACTGGACAATTGTGTATTGTGTTCAGGAGCAATACATTTTTCTGTTTTGAGTTCTGGTATTTGACAAGATTGTTTCTAGTCTGAACAAAACACTGATTTGTTGAGGGCCAGTGCCTCACTGTTTCACTGTTCCAACTTGGAGTCTGTTCTTTGCCATTGGTTTTGCAAGTTGTAAGGGAATAAAAATTATAATCTGTTCTGAAATTGCGTCCACTCTCCTGGAAATCCCTTGTGAGAGAAATCAGTCTCAGGAGATATTCCAACATTTCTCTTTGCTGGCAGGGCACTTGCATTTTCTTTGCTGAGATATGGGTAGCCTCTCAGAGGATAGTTCAAAGACGATTGTTATTCTATATAGATAGAGGACTAACTTTTGAAAGTCATATTAACATGCTATGCAAGGCGATTTTTCTGGAGCTGCGCAGGATTAGTCACATCAGGCCCTTCCTAACAATTGATGCAACAAAGAGGCTGATGTCTGCATTTGTGCTATCACGCATGGACTATTGCAATGCTCTCATGGTGGGTCTTCCAGCTACGCTCCTGGATAAAATTCAAATAGCACAGAATAATGCGGCTCGCATTGTTCTCCGCAAACGCAAGTTTGACCATGCAAAAACACTTCTGAGAGAGCTGCACTGGCTGCCAGTGCGTGCTCGCATGGAGTACAAAATCGCAACTTTGTGCTACCGCTGCTTACATGACCTGGCGCCGTCCTATCTGAAAGAGCTGCTGACGCCTTATGTACCCACTAGAGAGCTCCGCTCATCCGATAGTGGCAAACTCTCGACACCACGTGTTTGCCTTGAGACTTACGGAAAGCGCACTTTCGCATTTGCTGGTCCAACAATTTGGAACGCCCTTCCTGTCGATCTCAGAAACAACCAGACACTGGAGTCCTTTAAAACCGATTTAAAGACACATCTATTTCGCAAACACCTTCTGGGATGATTGTCTACCTTATTTTCCAGTTAATGCATAATGGCTGTGTTGCTTATGGTTGAAATGGCTAGAAAGACTTTGCCATTGTATGCTTGTAATTAGTTTTTGTAGTGTTGCGTTTGTTTTAAATGTGGTAAATTATAGATTTGTTTTTTGTTGACTTTGTACCACGCTTCGAGCCTTTGGGGATGAAGCGTGTTTTTGAAATGAACTATATTATTATTATTATATTTGTCGGGCTTGTTTGGCATATATTGAATAAATCTGCACGGACCTCTGAAACCAACCAGTTACTGACCAGGAACATAATACCTCACCAAATTAATCTGGAATGCTTTACATATCTTATGGGATCAAAGATGTCACGAGCCAGAAAGGATTGGTCTAGTATCCTCATTATCAAAGCAAATATGAATCAGAAGTTTGCTGAATTTCTTCATTGGAAATGCTGCCCTAAAGAGGATTTCCATCAACATGGCTGAATAAAAATTCCACTGAAATGCTATTCAGATGAAGAGTGTCTGTGTGTAGTAGGCAGCCAATAAAATCTTTCATTTAGATCGCATCATTCCTTTGCCATTTATTGTCTCCTTTTACTTTCTAACCTTCCCTGTTGGTGCGGTCAACTACTGTTTGTTTCATTTTTTCATTAATGTACTGTACAGTGGGAGTGGAAGATACTACATGATGTGTGAAGGGAGCTTGGTTTCAAGGCAACTAAATCATGCCACATTGTAAAAAATATAATAACATAAAGAGAGCCATTTACTGAGAGACTATGGATGTAACCCACCCAGTTGCCAGGAATCACCAGAAACACTTTTTCCCACTAAAATGAGTGTATGGGTGTGCTACACCTAGTCGCTAGGGACAGGGCATACAATATATGTTGCAGCTGAAAAAGTTACACCCTTTTCTCAATAATCCTGGTTGCCGGGTTGGCACAACTTGGCAAATATAAATATTTTTAAGGCACTAAAAGATATATTTATCTCAAGCTTAAAAATATTTGAATGAACGCTAAATATTGTAGCACTGCATCTGTCATGTTTTATTTGAGTCTCTTTAAGAATACCTCCACATTCCAACTACTACCACTGCCATAGACTAAATGATAAAAAATAACAATTTTATTATGTACAAGGACAAAGTAATGTAACTAATTTTTTTCAAGACAAACTTCTCAAATGTACCTGTACTGCAGCGGTCTCCAAACTTTTCAGCCCGAGGGCCGCATGAACTACCGGTATCTAACAGCAGTTCGGGGGCCGACTACACACTCGAGGTCCAAATAAAAAAGTAATCAAAACATGGATGTTGTTTTTGATTATTTAATATTTCAGTTATTATTTAATAACACATTAACACCTGTATTGGTGGGAATGGTGAAATTGTTTCCCGGATGCCAAAATAGCAGACATTTCTGGCTTTAGATTTGAAGTCCCTAACATCAACAGTGACCTGAGTTATAATCAGACAAGTTTGTTTTCAAATTGCTCTTCACGACCTTCATTCTTGAAAATATTTGTTCACATAGGTATGTTTGTTCCAAAGATTGAAAGGTACCTTGAAGCAAAAGTTTTGACATTATGAAAGTCTTCCATGGGCAAAAACTGGTAAAAACCCACTAGTCTCTCTTTGAACTTATCCCTAAGGAGGTCATTTGCTTGCAACTCAATGACCACCAGCTGCTGTTCATCTTGGTAACTGGCCACATCTGCTTCAAATGGGTTTTGAAACAGTCTCGCTTCTGCCTTTCTGCCTTTGAATCCATTTAGAAAACCAGTGCTGAAACTGCAGCTGGGGGGTCTTTGATGATCTTGCATACAAATGACGTGGGGAACTCCTGCTTCAGCCATGAAGACCTTGCACTGCTGAAAATGTTTCAAGTTGTGGACCTGTACTTGTTCCAAAGATAAGACGAGTTTGGATCTGAAGGCCTTTAGGTGGGTGTATAAATCAGGAACTAGATTTTCCTCTCCTTGTAGTTGTAGGTTCAGAAAATTTAAATGACTAGTTATGTCTGCAGCAAAGGCCAATCTCCATACCCACTCTTCATCAGACAGTAATGGCTGGGGTTTGCCTTTATTTTCCATGAAGTCACCTATTTCTTAACTTAAATACTCTGCTCAGAACTTTCTCACAACTTAGCCATCTTATTACTTTGTAAAATGGTAAATCTTGTGTCTATATCTTTCAAAATATCTCTGTTCTGTATATGGTTGAGCCCATGTGACCTTATTAAATTCACCATCTTCACCACAGGATTCAGTACAGTGCTAATGTACACAGATGGCGCAGGTTGTATTCTTTCATCACAGCCACGGTTTCGTTGCAAATCAGACACAATGCTTTCTCGCCGGACACTCATGGTCTATTTTTCTTTTCCTCTTCTTGGCCATCGCTGGGCACTAAAATAAAGGGAATTCAACAATGACCCAAATAAAGATAATAATTGAATGACTGCATTCAAGTTGTGTAAATGAAATTTCGTCTTATTTATGAATTCAAGTTTAGCATACCTTGTTCTTGGATATTTCAAATGACCCCAAAACAGTTTTTAAAAATTCTTATGATTTCTTAAGTTAAACTTACCTGAAGATAGTGTGCAAATATATCCACTTATGGTAGAGAGATTGTTGCTTTTTATGTTTCCTCTTCAGAATATTCGAAAAATTCGTACTAAACTAACGACATTCCCAAAACTTAAAACACACTAATAAGTGATTACGCGAAGGAAATTATCACTAAATAAAATAGAGTGCAAAATGTTTCGCAATCAGATGCTAACTGACACCAACACCTCCTCATCGCAGCAGTCAACCACAAAATCAAACTTTGATCAAAATAATCAAGTCTTGAACAAGCAGCAAACAATTTAAAAATTCCGCCACTAGATGGCGTTATATCATCTGATTGACTGTGAACTGCGTGCTTCTATTTTAATTCGGTAAAAACATAACATCCCCGTAAGTGATCTTGGCAGGATACACGTTAATTTCCGTAATTTTTCCGTAGACAAAAAGGTCTTCACGGGGCGGATGAGAGGGCCTCGCAGGCCACATCCGGCTCCCGGGCCGTAGTTTGGAGACCCCTGCTGTACTGGATAAAACTTGCAAAAGCTGAAGTAAAATTATCCTATTCAAGAAATTTTCTCAATTGTTGATAAATATTTTAATAATTTTTAACTAAGGATAATAATTAATAATATATTTTTAAATATCTTGTGTGCCCAGGGTCATGTGATAAAAAACAATATTTAGACTAGAAATTTTGCCCCAAAATGTTCCAAGCATCAGTTCTAAGGATTTAACCCAAAAACATTGTGACGAAATAATATCTATATATATCTATATATATAACAAAACAACATAATATTCATGGATTTCATTTGATCATGGTGGATTAAGGTGGGTACAGGGGTTATAAAAATACAAATTTGTGGGATTTTTTTTTTGGAGAAGTGAAGTCCAAACTTTTTTTATAAGATAATGAGAGCAAAAACTCTTTCTATATATGTGTAATAACTGATTTTATAGTTGTTTTAATGGTAAAGTTCATTATGGGTCGATGAATTTAATTATGTTAGCATAAATTAATATTTATAGTTATAGATTTAGGCATGAGTATCAACTGCTTGTTCCTTGCCCTAAACATAAAGGAAAATATGAACAGATAATTACATTTATAAAATGACAATAAATAAAAAGGGAAGATTATAATAATCTCATAAAGTCATAATTGCCAAATACCCACAGACGATAAATAAACAATTTTATGTAATAATATACATAAAAAAACAATTATTAAAATAATCTTAAAACAAATCCTTAAAAAAGTAGATTACTTGAGATTACATATATTAACTTTTTTCTGTAACATTGCAAGTATTTTTGAGGGTTTAAATATTCTATGACCAGGATTCATGTAATGTTGTTTTTCCTCTAAATTGAGGACATAAAAGTCATGATATAAATTACTTCAAATGGCTTACAATGCGTTGTCGTGAGATCTATGCCACTTCACATTAAAATTAGAGTTAAAATACTTTGTTTTTTCTACTCAAAAATAGGGGGTTTTTTTGTTTGTTTTTTGGAACGATTAAAACTATTACAAGCATTGAAGTCTGGTACAGATCAATGCTAGAGACCAGAAAATTAGGCAGAAGGAAGTTGATAAAAGGAAAGAAATATATTGGAATATGGCAAGCTTATAGTGGCATGCAAACTCCGTAGAAAGAACACTGATCTTAAAAAGTTAAAGTACGTTTTAATTAAAGTTTGCTGCCTCTCAGCAAGAATAAAACAAAGAGATGGAAGAATTTAATTTTTGTCATATAATCCAAATGCCAGATGTTCAAGAAGTAAAACATGTAATTCAGATTAAAGTAACAATCTGTTGCTTACAAACTGCGACCTTTACAACCAGTTCAATTAATACATTATTAAAGTAACCCTTAAAAAAAAGTTTTTCGTAAAAATTCTTTATAAAATGTAATCAATAAATGCAATCATTTAATCTTCTCCTTGAAAAGGTAGGGGGGGGGGCTGAAAATTTGAAAGAACGTCTTGTCATCAGCAACAAGTCTATGTGCCAAGTTCAGCTCGATAGCTTGACAGGAAGTGGGCCAATTAGCAGTCCGAAGATTTTACCACCCACAAAAAAAGTGAAGTTAATATACAGGATTTAAAAAGAGCACGGATGATAAATGTATAATTATTTAACATGAGATTTTTGTGGGCATTTTAACATTTTTGCAGTTAGGGGCCATTTCACACATTGGGGGGGGGGGGAGGAAGAAGAGAAAGTTTTGATGATGTATTATGAGGGTGTCTAAACTGTGTGATCATAAAGAGGGAGGGGGGTGTTCCAAGGTAGATAACATTTTTGCAGTTGGGGGCCATTTCACACATTGGGGGGGGGGGAGGAAGAAGAGAAAGTTTTGATGATGTATTATGAGGGTGTCTAAACTGTGTGATCATAAAGAGGGAGGGGGGTGTTCCAAGGTAGGGTGACACCAATTATAGAGGGCCCCTTAAAAATATATCTTATTTCTTTTTTAAACAATGTGTGTTGCCAATACTCTATTATGATTGTTTTTTTAAAGTAGAGAAAGATTGTTAAATGCAAAATTATCACTTTAAGCTTCATGTCAAGCTCTTTCTTTGCTGACTTTGATGTCAAGTTGTTATCAGCTGTTCATGTGCCTCCTTTAGGATATTAACAGAAAAATATTGGCGCAAGGGACATCTGTTGAACAATATATAAAACTGTTTATAAAACCATTTCAGAAAAGAAGAAAGTAGGCTTAAAGATGAACACTTATCCAACACATTATTTATGACCTCACTAACTGATACACATGATATCCTTGATTCCTGAAAACTGGCTTGAAAAATGGTTGTGGATTTTTCTTGATTTTGTGGCATGCTGCTTGTTTTCCTCTGTTCTCAATGTCTTCAATGTCCCAGATTTCTGGCAGTGAACATCCTTGCCTGCACAATGAAAATAATTAATAATATATATTTTTTTAAATTACCTTAAAAAAATAACACTTCTTTAGTGTTGAAAAATGACAAAAAGGTCAAAGTTTGCTTTTAGGAAGACCTTCTCACAATGATAACATTTACCCAGTACTTTATTTTTTTCTTTAATTAAAAACCACCATGATTTAATATGTTTAATGGGTAAACTTTGGTTCCTCTTGCCAGATCAGAGAAAAATTTATTTTTAAAAAACCTACTATCAACAGTACTTAACAAGGATTGTATGCTACCTACAGATTTTATGAACTCCCCTCTTAGCCTTAGCCATATTTGTCCACTGAGATGTGAAGGATTTTTTAACAGCAGCTCAGATGGAGCTTTGTCTGCTGTTCGACTTTCTCTTTTAAATTTGTAAATGGTGGTGAAAAAGCTCTTCAATAAAATTATTTTATAAAGTTACTAATTTTTTAAATTTTGTTTACTCACTTTGACCTTTGTGAGCACCAGGGATCTTCCAAAATTATAAACTTAACTCCCAACTTGTCGAGGTTAGCTTTTACTTCTTGCAAAGGTTTGCGACTATAAATGCTATACACAAGTTTGGTACGTTCTCTGTAAAAAATTATTTCATTACATTTAATATATACTTAGTAATGTCTTACCATATTTTGTCTGTGGCTCTGCATTATATTTTTTTTTTTAAATTTGTGAAAATTACGGTAATACAAAGAAAGATGATGAGAAAATTGTTTTACCTAAGGCCAATATCTTCATAGTGAGGATGATTGACTATTGGTCGTAATGTTGTAAGCTTTACTGTAGCCATAGTAGGCATTGCCCCTGCAAAGACTGCATCTAAGTAAAAAGAGTGAATACAAGAAACAACTCATTTTAATTTATGACACCTTTTTGTGTTTTTAAAAATAAAACTTTTTAAAACAGAGACAAGGAAGTTGTCTGACCTTTAAAATATGAACTTTATTTGCAAAAATGTGTCATTGAATATTTTACCAATGTATAATATCTCACTACAAGCAGGGCTGGAAGTTAGCAACCAAAAAACAAAATACATGACTATGATAAGAGAAGAACAGACGGATGAAGCAATCAAAATTAGAAACCAGACTTTTGAAAAAGAAATCAATTCAAATACCTAGGATCTTTTTTAAATGAAATAAATGAATTACTAACAGAAATAAAAGAAAGAATATCAGCCGGAAACAGAAAATACTCAAAAATAAAAACATTACAAGAGAAACACACAAAAAACTATTTATAAAACTGTAATCAGACCGGTTGTAACATATGCAAGTGAAACGTAGACCCTAACAAAAAATGACAGAAAGCCTATCAAACATATGGGAGAGGAAAGTTCTCAGGAAAATATATGGACAAACAAAGGATGAATATGGATGGAGAATATGAACCAACCATGAATTGTACAGTCTATATCAGGATCCCACGATAGTAGCAGAAATAAAAAAAAAGGGCAGGCTACGCTGGGGGGGACACAGAGAGAATGCCAAATGACAGAGGAGTGAAGAGGGTGGATCACCAAAACCCCAAAGGAAAACGGCTCAAAGGCAGACCTAGGCTTAGATGGGTGGAAGATGTGGAAATAGATGTACAACAACTGGGAATCCAAGTGTGGAAAAGAAAATCATCAGTGAAAGGGAGTAGTAAGACATGCCAAAGCTGTACATGGGCTGTAGTGCCACAGGGATGGATAATACAGAAGTTTATTTATTTACAGTGATGCTATCAGTGTAAGTGTAACAACAGACTGCTAAGATATTTTTAGTCTTTTCCCAGTGCTCTAAAATGTACATCATAATAAAATTTATAAATTACATGATGAGACATTTTAATTTGATTATGGTGTACATTTAAGAGCACTGGGAAAAGACTAAAAATATGTATCTTGTGTTGAATGATGAATCATTTTAATCACAAGATACATAAGACCTTTCGAAGTTATTAATACCAAATAAGGGATTTTCATGGCTGGTTTATGAAAATGGAACAAAATTTATGTTGGTATTATCAGTACTTTTTTTCAATTGTGTAATGAATAACCATAGAAAGCTGTCCTGGTCCCCATATGGAAAAAGAAATGGAAAGAAAAAGGCTTCAAATATAAAGAGACATCTCTCTCCTTAATCATACGGGTAAGATATTTGTGAAGATCCTGGAGAACCTGACACAAGCTATGGGTGACCCACTTCTTAGCAATGTCCAGTTCAGCAATTGTTTGAAAAAGCATATGAATATCAATGACAGGTTCATCTAGTTTTTATTCACCAGGAAAAAGCATTCAACAGGGTGGACAGAAATAATCTCTGGGAGGTATGGAATGAATGGACAGCCTCACAATAGTATCAGGGCACTCTATACAAGCAGTCTAAGCCCAAATGGACTCTCCCAGTGAATTGAGACAAAAAAAAATCAGGAGTCAGGGAGGCCTGTGTTCATCACTTTCATGAACAAAATCACATAGGATGCGAATCTGAATCACAAGGCACTAAACAAATTAATTTTTGTGCTAAGCAATGCATCTTGAATGACAATAAGGAACACCTGCAGAGTCATGTTAATAGCCTTTAACAGTAACTGCAAACTTTATAGGATGAAAATCAGTACAGATAAAACTGAGGTCTTCTCAGTAAAAAGATGGACAAAGAGAAAGAATCAAGAGTGCAGAGGACAAATGCAGACAGCTATCAAATACCCCAGTAGCATACTTAGACACCTAAGTTACAACAGCTGGCAAAATGAGAAGGAACCACATTCAAAAACCAGGAAATAAGACCAATGGTTGGTGCCATTTAATTGTCCTGTATTTTCGTATCAAGCCGAACCCCATCTTGTTCCACTATTTATTCCCATACCAATCAGACAGTATATCGCCTACTAGTAAATTAATTGATTTGGTTACTCTGGTTTCAAGGCCAGATATGACCCAGCCAGCAGTAGATTATAGTGTCAAAGATAGCCTCAGTGTCTCCGAGATAAATCTTCAGCAGGCCTCACACCTTGCGCCAGATCACCACGAGACGCCTCTCCAGTAAAAGCCAACAGAAGTAGAATGAATACAATCGAACCAGCTTATCTCAACCTTGGTTAACTCGCCAACCATGTTATGTCGAATTTTTTGTGGAACCGCCAAATTCTCTCTTTGTCTTAGCATTTTCTCCTTGGTTATTTCGATTCTTTAATGTTGCCGAACCCTGATATCTCAAGCACAAAAGGTAGCCACATTTGCCACTTTACATCCGTTATCACGATCCCCTGACCGAACACCGGCTTTTGAACTCCGCAAGAAGAAATAGCAAACAACAAATAAACAAGTTTTGCATAATTAAAAATAATTATTTATTTCTCACAATACAGGAGTGAAAGAATCCCTCAGTTTATGTTGTAATGATTGTCCTCCTCGTGTGCACAAAACAGACTATAATAAGTTCATTGTCCCTCCATTACATAGACAAAGGAAACTAGATCTCCATATGATCCTGTGACCTACCGGCATAGACTGATCACAGGTTTTTGGGCCGTTTCACGCATCCGGAAAATTTATCGGTGCACCCTGCTATGTGAAGGAACTAATATTACAGATCTATTTTTTTTAATGTAACTGACATTTTTATAACATTCGTTAATAGAAAGTAGCTCTACTAAGTATGGGCCTAAGTATTATTATCATTATCGGCATCCTTCCGTCTCGTGAGACGATGGTGCATCACCGTTGGGTTGGGTTGCATTTTCTCGAGTGGCTATGCAGTCCTATCCTTGAGTGACAGTCTTTACTACAGTTTTTACACACGAGTTCTGTGCTTCCAAATGTTTTGGCCTTTCTCCTAGCTCTTCTGTCTGCAGTCTCTTCCATTCTTCGCTCCTCGGCTACCATGACGCCCTCTTTGACAACTGTGCGCCACGTAGATCGGTCTTTTGCCTTACACTCCCAGTCACTTGTATGCATTTTGGCTGCTTTCATGTCCCTTTGACAGACATCTTTAAATCGCAGACGTGGGCGACCTGTTTTCCTCTTTCCAGCAGCAAGTTCACCATATAGGAGGTCTTTCGGAATGCGGCCGGGGCTCATTCTTTTAACATGACCTAGCCATCTCAGGCGTCTTTCACTAAGGATTGTGAACATGCTTTTGGTATTCGCACGCATTAGGACCTCACTATTAGTCACTTTTTCTTGCCATTTAATACCAAGGATGCGACGCAGGCATCTCATATGGAAGCTATTAAGCTTGCGCTCTTGGGATGTATAGGTGGTCCATGTCTCGCTCCCGTATAGTAGTGTACTGATGACACAAGCTCGATAGACGCACAGTTTGGTTTTCTCCGTTAGCTTGGTGTTTTGCCAGACCCGTTTATTTAGTTTAGCCATTGTGGCAGCTGCCTTGCCGATTCTGCTGTTAATTTCTTCTTCAATGGACAGTGTGTTGGAGACTTTGGACCCCAAGTTGGTGAAGCTGTCCACAACCTCCAAGTTTTCGTTATCGATTTTTATGTTAGGTGGAGGTCGAGTGTCTTGGGCCATGATGTTTGTCTTTTTCAAGCTGATTTGCAGACCAAATTCTTTGCAGGCATTGGAGAAGCTTGACACGAGTTGTTGCAAACCAATTTCTGTGTGTGCTGTTAGTGCCGCATCATCCGCAAATAGTAGCTCGCGAATTAGGACATCTGTCGTTTTGGTCTTGGCTCGGAGGCGGGCAGTGTTGAAAAGTCCTCCATCAGCTCTGGTGTGTAACCAGATTCCCTCACTGCTATCCTTGAATGCGTATTGAAGTAGTACAGAGAAGAATATTGCGAACAGTGTTGGTGCGAGTACACAACCTTGTTTAACTCCGCTGCTGACTGGAAAGGCTTCTGACTTGGCTCCATCGAACTGCACTGTACCCTGCATATTTTCATGGAACTCTCTGATGATGGCAAGTAGGTGAGGGGGACAGCCGATTTTTGCCAGTATTTTGAATAGCCCGTTGCGACTGACGTAATCAATCAAAGGCTTTTGTAAGGTCCACAAAGGCAATGTACAGTGGCATCTGCTGCTCTCTGCATTTTTCCTGGAGCTGTCATATGGAGAACACCATGTCTATGGTAGACCGCCCAGATCGGAGACCGCACTGAGATTCTGGATAGACACGGGATGCTAGACTCTGTAAACGTGTTAGTATGACACGGGCAAAGGCCTTTCCTACAACTAACGCAGCTGTTCACAGACAAGGTGAAGGAAGGTATCTCAAGGATGTCCCCATGCGTCACCATTGACTCAAAATGGACGCATCTCAGAGACACAATCTATACATCCGCAATACAGGCCTTTGGCAAAAAATCTCACAAAAGCACAGGAGGTAGATTGCCTCGTCTTTGTGGATGCTGGCTATTACCTGGTCTAAAGCTCCATAGAACTGGTCCTTCTCTGGTCCCGGAGTTGAACAGAGAGTTGGGGCATATACACTAAGAATGTTTGCTGGGCCCGCAGCTGTTCTGAGTCTTAGCGTGAGGATCCTCTCCGTACTGTTGTAGCTGTAGAGGGTTTAACCCTACTCATCAGTGATGCCGGGACACATAGTCCTCACGTTCTTTTTTGTGTTTCTTGGTGCAGGGCTTAGTGGCCCACTTGTTGAGTGGTACTCTAATCTCCACGCACCCAGTGGAGAAGGCAGGCCATGACGGGATAGTCTCTCCCACCGTTGGAAGCAGCCCCTGGCGCCTAGCTCTACGTCAATTGAACTTTTGGCTTATAACCGGTAACTGCTGCTTCCCGTGTTTTGTCGACACCTTGCGGCGACGCTGGAGTGTCCTCTCCAGAGGTGATGCAAGCCTGGGCGGGTATTATGGAGAATTAGCTGCTGCCCATACAGCATATCCACCCTCTCCACGTCAATGGTGCGTCGATGCGGCTTGGCTGCCATTGGCGTCGCAGGAGCTGCCGGTATGTACATAGGGGTTTTATGTATAGACCGCCTGTAGGTGCTCCATTTCCTGATTTTCTGTCGGGGTTTACTCCCTTAGCCTTTCCCGAAGGGTATAGCCGCAAGGCAGCGGAGGATTTTTGAAGTCGGAGTTTCCTTCTACTAGCCGTAGGGGTGCCAACACCAGGATTCGAACCCGTGACTGATTGAAATTTATTTTGAAGTCTTGGTACCGCAGCGCAGCGCACTATCACTTAGACCACCGCGCCCCCTATGGCTGTCCTAAAACTAAGACTAAAATGAGTACTTCCCAAATAAATTATTTATAATATAAATATTCTAATCATATACAGGATACTGTCTAATCAGTCAGTCTAAATCTAATATAAAGTAACCTAGACCTAGTCTAGGCCTAAACCATATTAGGCTTAGGCCCTATAGCCAGTTATTTATTATTGACTTAAATTAATAAATTGGGCAAAGCCTAAAATTTAGGTTTTATTTAGTGTATTAGACTCATTCTCAATTATTAGTGCACATCATGTACATAAAGAAATTTCAAGCACATGTTAATATATTGCTGCCATATTCGTTTTCGTTTATCTCGATCATTGGTCATCTCGACGCTTTTTAGCAAACCCCTAGGCCATCGACATAACCCGGTTCTACTGTAATTATTGTGTAAATTCAATAAAAACTAATCCAACTGCACTGTAAATTAAAAAAACAAAACACTTTCAAGCACACTTTTATTAATTAGATGTTTCACTATAAATTATTTAAAAAATTATCAATTGATCTTACTTACCTTCTGGTGTTTTTGCTTTTATCCATTCAACAAGTTCTTCTTGTGGGAGGTTACTGAATTCTCCTAATCTACTTAATTGTACTTGTAAATTAGAGAAACCAGTAAAAGCCATGCAGGCTAATAGAGCAGCTAAAACCATCATGTGTGTCTCCTTCTTTCCTAATGGAAATATCTAGCCAAGCAAAGGAAAATTAATTATGGCATCATGTGCATTTTTTTATAGTTATAATCATCAAAGTACCAACCTAGATTTTTTAAAGCTGTAATTTAAATGTATTTTATTTCATGTAAGTAGATATAGATTATATATATTTATTTTATTTGGGAGGGATGAGGAAGAGAGAATTAGGACTTCGGTCCTCTAGATCCTGTGAAAGACATGGACACTTAAATATATCCTAAATACGATGTAGAACTGTATAAAGAATTAAAACAAATCCAGTATTTATGCTTTTATTTATGCTATACTTGGTAGCCCTATACTTATATATAGATTCTTAACTGCTAATTATAAGAAATAAATATGCACAAGACTAAACTGTTATTGGGTTGACCTACCTGACGAGATGCTAATAAAGATGAATACAAACAAAGATGTGGAGTCCAAAACAGTTTCAGCCTCATAATGAGCAGAGCCATCAGTGTAAATGCTAATAACTGAAGTGTGTGATACAGATACTAGGTAGGAGAGAAATTTAGAAATTTTGGATTATTCCAAAACAGATTTTTGAAAGTATTTGGACATACACTTTTGTCTCCATGCAATTGAATTTTTTGTAAATATATTTTAAATGATAAAATACAATCATACCTCTGCTCCAGGTTTGCAGCCATCGCTGGAAAACAAAGTTTAATTGATGTAAATTAACACTGCTCTTAACCTAGGAAAATGCATATTATTATTTTAGTCCTTTTTATTTTTAGATTTTAAGAAGAAAATTAAGTTAAAATTTATCTATTCAATTTGAGTATTAGCATAAAAATTATGCATTATCTTATATATAAATGACTTTTTAGAAAGTATGTGAATATACTCAAACTGCATAAAAGAAAAACGAAATAACTATTCCCTGTGGTGTGAATTTGTGAAAGGAATGCAAATGCAAGACTATATATTATTGTACATAAATGAAACAAATGAGAATGTCAAAAAATATATTTATTCTGCAAAGTTCTGTTTTTTTAAAGTATTTAGCTAATTTAGACATCAAGAGGTGGAAAGAAATGTGTTTTAAGGTTGATTTAAAGGATGCAACTCAATACAAAAACATTTTTTCCCCTTACTTTACTTACAGAGTCTATGATTTATAATTGAGGTTAGCTGAAACTTGACATATAAACTCGTTGCGATGACAAAACATTCTATCAAATTTCTGCCCCACCCCTAACCCCAAACATCAGTTTTTCCTGTTTTTCAAGGGGAAGATGAATGAAATATGATGACGCTGATTTCACGAAATAAAATTCCCAATTACTGCACTAAATGAGATTCTTTTTAAAAAAATATCACAAGTGCATTTGGTGCGTAATATTTTCTTTTGTTTTTCTGAAATAGTTTTTGAAATAAATATGCGGTGTAAAGCCAGGTGGGTCATTAGAATATTAATATAGTAATGGGGCATGAAAAAAATGTGTGGTTGTGAGCGGGGAGGGGGGCACTAATTTGGATTTTTATAAAGTGCGTTACCTGAATGCATGTTAAAATTTGTTCATTTTTAGAGTGTCACAAAATAAAAGGGTTGAAAAATGTTGCTTTTTGTGTAATTTGATAAAAACAAATTTATTAAATTATGAAAGGAAGGAAGAGGTGTTTTTTTTTTTGTTTTTTTTTTCAGTACCAGTACATATAATATAAATTAAGATCAATAAATAGTATACACAAGCTTTTAAAACTCACCTTGTTTGTAAATTTGTAGACTTGGAATTATCGACCAAATCTTTCGTTTTAATTTTTTTATAATTTATCTCAACTTTGACTAGCTGTATACATAAGAAAAAAAGATAATAATTTTATAGTGCTGATAAATCTCTAATCTAGAAGTATCCTTACGTTAATCTATTAAATTTAGTTAAAATATTTTGATAAGATTCTTAAATCAAAACACCATTTATAAAAGAATTGTATGCAGCTTGGCAAATTAATAATTTATTTTTAAAAAATTTTTAATAGCTTTACCATTCATCTACACAGATGTCTTCAATTGTATCAACTCATCTTTATAAACTCTTTGGAGAAAAACAGCAACTTACATGTATTGAAACAGCAATGAAAGCAATAAGCCCACTTGGAATCAACAATGTTATTGACAATTTCCAAATTGTCTGTAGAGAAAAAGAACTGGGGTATACATTGTCAGAAAGTAGTGTTTGAATAGAAATAGAAAATAAATACAGTAGGGCATCGAATTTCCAAATGAATTGGGGTGGTTCAGACAACCTATGTTTTTGGATAACCGAACACCGAAAGGTTCCAAAAAAGAAGTTAACCATACCCTGTACTGCATAGTACGGTCAGCTCATTGTTGTTAAAGACAGAAGGGGATTGGAATTTTTTTTAATGCAAAAAGAAGTTATATAAAATCTGAGTTCACTAAGTCTTTACAGGTGTATATTCTGCAACATTTATTAATTAATTAACACATTTGTTGATTGTATTATCCAATTAATGTCCAGTATACATCTAGATTTTACCTGGATCACGTGTGAAGGATCAGAATAGTATAGTAATGTTTGTGGGCCATGAGCATGGCATACAATAACAATAAAAAAAGGCAGGACAGTTCAAATAACTTGGAAAATTTATGCTCAGAAAATCGACACTACTGTATTTAATGCCTCAAGTAACAACTTATTTTTAATCATATTAGCATTTTAGAAAATAGACTAGATAACTAAGCAAAAGAGATACAAAAAAAAAAAAAATCCTAAGCCTAATCAGATTTGCCATATGAAGCATTACTACATTAATTTCAGGATATCAAGACTATTTAAGCTATATAAATATATATATTAATTTTTAAAATACCTCATATTCAATGAAGTCAAATTCTTTAGCACAAGTGTACAGCATAGTATGAAAATTTTGGAAGTTTGTAAATTTACTTCTCAAAATTTCACCAATATGAGCCTGAAATGAATTTAGTTCATAAATAATACAATTTTGAAATACATGTAATACAAAATCATCAGAGCCAATTTGAAAAAAAAACAATACATATTAATAAAGAAACAAATACATATTAATAACATACTATATTTTTTTCCCATTTTGGCAGACTAAAGGTGGCACATAGTTGAAAAAAAAAGAGTTCAGAAAATAGATTTTGAATTCAATTCATCAATGGTTTTAAATTAAATACATAAATGGTTTTGAATTTCAACAGGAAAAAATAACTTACATCATCTTCAAGTCGAAATATTTGGGCCAATAAAAGCTTTGAGACTAAAGTCACAAGGATGAAAGTAATTCCTTCAGATAACTGAAACAAGTTATAATCCATTATCCCAGTCATAACATATCACTCAAATATGAGGGAGTTATTCAATTTAATATATTTACTTGTAAAAGTAAAATTAAGCCAGAGTAAGAAGTGAGACTCTCAAATGATGTTAAGACCAGAATATATAATGTGATATGTTCAATAATATGTCTTAATTCAAATTGGCTAATCTTAAATATATTTTTATTCTAAAAAATGTGTTACCGGTACTTAGTGTTAATCCTTTGATTTAAATATTTTATAGATACTGAGTGGTAGAGAGTTCAAGGAAGCAAACAGAGTTCAAATTCTGGTCAAGTCCATCAAGTTTTGGAGTGACAAAATCCCCCCCCCCCCCAACTCATGAACTTTGATTTAAATATTTTATAGATACTGAGGGGTAGAGAGTTCAAGGAAGCAAACAGAGTTCAAATTCTGGTCAAGTCCATCAAGTTTTGGAGTGACAAAATCCCCCCCCCCCCCCAACTCATGAAGCTAATACCAAACCCCCACCCCCTGATTGATGTCTTCATAATTAGGTAGGAAATCCATTGAATGGCTGGAGGAGACTATGCAAACAAGTCTCACATGAAAGAAAGATGCAAGTCTTGTATGGCTTCTACTAACATCACATGGTTTATAATATAATCTTGGCCTTTTCTGCTCATTTTGGCCTGCAGGCATTGTTGGTGAAAATGTCCTGCATCTTCAAGTGGCTCCTGTAGATGACATTGGTTCTGTAGACCTGAACCACATAGAAGGATGGCGATAACTAAAATTCTGTAGACCTAAGCCATATAGAAGGGTGGTGATTCTGTAAATTTGAGCCATATAAAAAGGTGGTATTGATTACGGTTTTGTAGACCTGTTAAATGTTTAGTGAGTGCTGTAGATAGTGCATGAACAACCAAAAGACTGCTTTATCAAAATGGCTTGACCTTGTATACCAGCGGTGGACAAAGTGTGATAGATGTGGCTTACCAATGTCTTTAGTACCGGTCTGTATGCCAAGTGTACTTGTTCTCAGAATTTCAAATGAAATTCTGGCGACATTGTGCAATAAAGTGTAAAAAGATTCCTTTAATTCCAAAAAATTTTGTCCATTTCTTCAAATTGCAAAGAATGTTCGCATCAACTTTTGTGGGTGAACAGCCATTTTTTATCACGAAGCATAGCAAGTTTGACCTGCTTTCATTGATGATGCACAAGAGCATTTGGCTGCCATTTGCAAAATGTCACTTTGAAAACATAACCAGATTTTGAAAGGCTCGTAAGTGAGTTAAAAAAAAATTAAATTTTTCAAATTAAATTCATTAAGTGAACACAATTTTGTAAGCATTTGTTCATACAACTTGTTTGAATCTGTTGACGTAGGGCTTGGTATATCACTGTTTATTACAAAGCCACATCAAGTTTAGAACTTTGAGAAAACTCTGCCCACATCGGTTTTATACCATTAGACTAAATTACAGTCAAGTATGATCCAATTCGACATCATTAATCATGCATTTCTGATTTTTTAAAATTCTAAACACTTTCAACCCTAGGCATGCATATATTTCTGATAATTTTGTTCATGTTACAAATGTGTTATGGTCAAAGATTTAAAGTTGAACATATTTTTGTTTGTTAAAATACCAAAATGATAAAACTGTGTCCAAGTTTTTGATAACATTTCCACAACACTGTCACCACCTGTAGAACAAAAACAAATATAAATAATTTTTTTGCAAAATATTATATTTTATGTCTTCTTTATTCAGAATTTATTATCTAATATTGTCTTCTAGTGAACGATTAATTACAGTTTTTAAATAAACCCATTAAGAAAATCTCAAAGATGGGTTATTAGCCTACATAGTAAAGCTTACCCATGCAGCCAAGAGACTACTAGCAAAAAAGGAAGTCAGCAACATTTCATTTCCAAACAACAGTCCAAAGCTAACAACAAGTCCTATCTGTCAGGAAGGATAACAAGTAGTTTCAATTACACTGCAGAAATAAATTAATCAGCCTATGGATAACTACCACGTGCAGATAATCCCTGTATCTTACATTATTTTATTACATAAGGATGATGTTTTAGATAAAATTTGTTACTTGCGTTTTTTAATTATAAACTGTTTAAAATATATCTGAAGGCAGTAAAACATTTCATCTATAAACTTGCGAAACATAAAATGCATGTATTACCATTATGTCATAAATAAGCTTGATTTTCTTAAAAAGCAGTTTTTCTATACTTACAGTTTGTCCAAAAAGAATGACTTTGCAGATTGCACTTGAAATGTATCGAAGCATGTATAAAGCAATTGCTGCAATTGTTTGCGTCAAAAGTGCAAACTGGGCAAACTGAAAA